TAAAAGAATTCTGCCTTAGTAATCTGGTCATATTTAATAAATTTACATTCTTTTTAATAGATTTTGAGATTTCATGATTTTTTTAAACTATCAAATTGATATTTGCTGCATTTTCTCTCTCCCTCTCCCTCAGTGCTATGGGGCTCCTGGTACGACCATGTGAAGGGATGGTGGGATGCAAAAGACAAGTACCGCATTCTCTACCTGTTCTATGAAGACATGAAGGAGGTGAAGATCAAGTTGGTCTCCATCAGATCTGCCCACATCCTCTGCTATGACATAACCTAGGCAGAACACTGCATGTGGGCTTCCCTGAAAAAGAACTTTGAGTGCAAGTTCTCTCTTTCTAAACTCTGGGTTTCTTTTTTTCTTTTATGCTCATGTTAAATTTTCTAATTTTCTGTACTGCAGTGTACAATTATTGGAAAATTTTTCCATAAACACATCTCAGTGTAAAGCATACCTATTAAATAAAAAAATATCTGTTTGCTCCAGATATTTAAATTCAAATTTCTCTACCTTCAAAATTATTATAAAAATCTCTCTCATCAAATTATTGTAAGAATGTATAAAATGATGATGGAAAAAGCCTAACTGTGTTTTTCACCAACACTTAATCTACAATATAAATAGAAGTTCAACCCACAAAAACATAAACAAAATTAGTCCTGTTCTGGTTATTTGAATAGTGAGTTAATTTCATTAGTTCAAATCCTAGTGACTAGAGTAGCATCATGAATTTACTTTCAAGCTGCAGTGGGTAAATATTCTAACATTACTGCCTGCTATATTGTAGCTTAACTACCCTTCTCTAAAACCTAATGGAAAAAATATAGAGTTCATGCTTTCTGCATCTCTTTGGTCCTGTGATCAGTTTGAGAGTTTCAGAAAGACGTAAAGGTTCAACATCTTGTGTTCATTCTTCTCATTTACCTCTTATTAAACTTGTAGATCCTTTTATCACCACTTACGGCCCAAATGCTAGCCACGTTTCACTTTACTACCTAAGTTTTCATCCTTTATAGAACATTTCTTATCTCCTCCTTTGTAATGTAATTCACTTTTCCGCTCTAATGTTTTAATACTTCTAATTGGAACAGCATGTCCTCTCTTGCTAGATATTACATTTGTTGTTATTTTTGCTGTTAAGTACTGTTGAGTTGAGGATGAATCATAATGACCCTATAAACAACCTAACTGCACATTCTCCTACCCCATGCCATCCGCACAATCTCTGACACACTCATTGGCCCATTGCCACAATTACCATGTCAATCCACCTGGTTAAGGTTTTCCTCTCTTACACTGTCCCTCCAACTTCCCAGGTACAGTTATGTTGATCTTTTCTCTTTTATTGCAGGAGCCCTGGTGGCATCGTAGATTAAGTCTTTGGCTTTTATTTGAAAGGTTAGCAGTTTGAGTTGACATCCTGTACAAAGAAAAAGATAAAGCATATCATCCTAAGATTTCCAACCTGGAAATTTGATAAAAAGTTGCCATGACTTGGAATCAACTCAACTGCAGTGTATTTTATTTCATTGCAGTATAAACTTCTTGAGGGCAGAATGTGTCCACAATGTTGTGTTTCTGCAGATAAGGGATATGTTTTGTATATAATATTCACTTTAGAAATATCTCATAAATTTACTTTAGTTGACTCCTTAATTTATTCCTCACTAAAAATTGCTTGTCTGAAAGGTAGAAGGTTATGCACAGTGGAAGATCTAATTGTTTGCTTTGATTAACTTGTCCAATGACAGGACCCAAAGAGGGAAATTCTGAAAATATTGAAGTTCCTGGAAAAAGAAGTATCAGAAGAAATTCTGAATAAAATTATCTATCACACTTCCTTTGATATAATGAAGCAAAACCCAATGGCCAACTATACTACTTTGCCTACCAGCATCATGGACCACTCCATATCCCCTTTTATGAGAAAAGGTGAGTCTTACCTACAGGTTACAAAGCTAGATTCTGTGATCTACTTAGATATTCCTCTGGAATACTTTATTATTTATTTACATCAACAACATATCCATACACATTTTGGAGGCAGGCATCTCTGGAAATCACTAAGAATTTGATTTGTTTCAGGGATGCCTGGAGACTGGAAGAACCATTTCACTGTTGCCCAGAATGAAGAGTTTGACAAGGACTACCAAAAGAAGATGTCAGGAAGCACCTTGACTTTCCGCACAGAGATCTAAGAGCAATTAACTAGTTCACCCTGAACTTTCTAACTATATTCTAGCTATTTTAATCTCATGATGATACTTAGAGCAATTGCATTTTTTCTTTTCTACAGTTTCTACAGATGTTTTGGTACAAAGAAAATATTTCATCAAAATGTAATCAAATCTTCTCCTCTGGAGATGTTTAAAATTAAAGTACATGGATTACTCACATAGATACTTAGCACATAATATTCACCTGCCATAATGCAAAATAAGCATATAATTTAACTCTGTCACTAACTTACATTAGACTGGCCTTCCCAGAAACAGAGTTGATAAAAAAGATAAGAATTCCAACATCAAAACAAAGAAAGCAAAGGGGATGTGAAGTGAGTACCAGGAAGAATAAGAAAGGAGAAGCACTTAAAAATTATAATAGTCAAGCATGGAGAGACACAGGATGGTCAAACTCATTGACATATGAGGTTATGAGACCCGAGGGTAATTGGAAAGAGGGAAGTAAGTGAGTTGTGGCATACAATAATGTTCAGTTTCTCCTTTTTATTAAAAATTGTTTAGACAAAATATTTGCTATCATTTATACAAGTTATGCAAAGATCAGAACATCAAGATAAAACAATGGAAGAACTCCAAATATTCCAGTTACCAGCCGACAAAATATTCAAATACATTTTTCAAGAGGAGAGTGTTCCTGGTAATAATTCACATGATGTACAAAATTATCTACTCTACAATGAGTAAATCAGCTCATTTGTATTCTTCTATCCTTCTTTCTTCTAAAACACGCATGCTAATTAGAAACAAGAAAAATAATCTGAGAATTCATGCATAATGCTGACTAATACTGAGGAAAGATATTATGAAATAAACCAACCTGTTTAAAATGCATATCCATATCTCCATTGCCAACTCTGTCCTCGACAGCCTAAAATTAATTTCAAGTAGAATTTGATTACTGCTCTGCACTCGAGGAGCCCTGTGGACTCCAGGGTCTGGGCATCACTTGGGAATTTGAGAGAACAGAAAGAACTGCTGGGTTGGGTTTGGGTAGAATCCCCCAGGATGGTTAAGACAAGTGATACATGAGAGTTTCCCATGGAGGCAAGGTCGGCTGTACAAAAGAGGCCACAAGAATCATGGATGCTAACTCAGGAATATCCTCAAAATACTCAGAATGACTACTTAGAGGCACTCAAATCTGGGACTAAGTGTCCCACAGAGAAAGAATCCTTTAAGATAGTTATCAGTTCAGAGCTCACAACAGCCCCTTCATGATCCAAGTCCTTAATTCTCCTTCACCCTTATTTGAACCAAAGGGGCTCCAAGGCAGCAGCTAGTGGCTAAGAAAGAAAGTGGCATTTATAGCAAGAGAAGAAATTTATTCCATTCTTATTACTAAATGCAGACCTTAGTATGAGAAAGGCAGGAAATGTCTTATCGCTGAATTAAAAACTGGAACATCAATTTAAGATTAAATGTTTTATTGTATATATTTTAATATAATCACTAATAATAATATAATCATAATCACTTTTTTCACATAAAGCAACAATTGTTATTGTCATCATGTGCTACCAGTGAGAACTGACTCATAGCTGATCTTCCAGCAGGGTTTTCAGAGACAGTAAATCTGACAGGATGAGACTGATCATTTTCCTCTCTCAGAGCAACTGGTGAATATGAAACAACAGTGCTGTATATTAACTAAGAATAAGAAGAAAAATCATGGCTACTGTTCAAAATTTGATCTGGAATTAAAAAAAATATTATCCTCATAAGAACAAACAGAAGAGGTTTTAGGAGACTGTGATTTGCTCACATCATGAGTGCTACCCCACAGTCATATAATTTAATCTCCAGGAAGAACCACTGTCAAAATTATATCTACTTTTAGTTTTTCCACATAGATACAAATAAAACTTTTTTTACAAAAATAAAACTACCTATGAAAATATTGTTTTGTAAAATACTATGTCACTAATTATCAATATTTGATCAGCTATTCAATGTTCTACAGTGTCTCTTTGTCTTTCCTAATAGCACATAGTATCTGAGTACTACTGAATGACCAGTACAAGTGATAAAGGCAAGTACAAACCTGATGGATTACAATTAGGAGAGGTGTGCATTAGGGTTGGATCTCTCCTCCATACATACTCAATCTTCATGCTGATGGAATCATTCAAGAAGCTGGACTACATAAAGAATAATATGTTATCAGAAATGTAAAAGACTTAATAACAAACCTCATTAGAAGATGACACAACCTTGCTTGCAGAAAGTTAAGACTTGAAGTATTCACTGCAGAAAGTCAGACTACTCTACAGTCTTTGATATTCTGAAGCAAATGCATTAGGTCCTACTCAGTTTTGACAAACAAGGTTGTGTCATCTGCCTATCGCAGGTTGTTAATGAGTCTTCCTCCAATCTTGATGCCACATTCCATTCCTCTTAATTAAGTTCAACCTCATAAAGTCCAAAATCTTAATGGCACCTAACAACAACAAACAACACTATGTTGTTGCTGTTGTTGTTATGTGCCATCGACTCATAGCAACCCTATGTACAACATCCCTAA